AACTTGATGCCTTGGGACTTGGTGACTTGAAATAGATTTTTATTTTTCTATATTGTCATTAATCTTCAAACCTAGCCATGTTTTGCATCATCTTCCTAAATCAGTAGCTGTAATTTAATTTTAGGTGCATTAGCATCTGCATCATGTGTAAATTAGTCTGTGTTCATGTTTTGGTTCTCATGGCTATAAGCTTGGATGACTTAGTTACTAATTGAAGACTAAAATTTGGTACATAATTGTAATCAAGTAATGCAAACTGGCTGGTATTTGCGGGGTGAATTGGCATGAAGACAGCACAATTTTGGGTGGTCCACTTATGATACAGGGCTTACTTGGTGCTGAGCCATGTGAACTGGGTTTATGGGGCTTGGATAGGGCAATAAATCCAGTTCTTTTTTTATTCTTTTAACCCTAAAAAATGATATGGGAAACCTCTTCTCTCTCCCTCTCACCCCAAGTCTCTCTCTTGTGACCCTTTATTGTGCCATCTGTTGCCGCTCGTCCGTTCTGATTCTCCCCACTGCCTGCAGTCCACCTGTTGTATTCCTCTTCTCCTCTGCCATGGCTGCCTCCTCTTCTCCTCCGCTTCCTAACCTCCTCTCCTCTTCCTTCTCTCTTCTTCTTTTTCTCCTCCCGGTACGATGGTACGTACCAGCATACTGCATGTTGGTATGCCAGTCCATACCAGAGCTATACTATGCTGGCCAGCTATGAGCATGGGTTTGATACCCAAAGTTGTAATCCTTGATTTCAATTACAGTTTACTTTCTGATTAAAAATCCAAAAAACTGCATCTGGAGTAAGCTGCATGTCATTCTTCACCCCTTCTTTGGAGACAATAATCTTAATTTTCATCCCATACGTCATCCGTCCACTCTGCTCTTACAGAATCTTCTTTCACAGCTTTTATTTCTAAGTTTCTAAGTGGACCGGCTGTAGTAAGTTTGTTTATATTTGTAAATAGTTTCCTTTTCTTTGCATGAGCCTAACTTGACTTCACTTATTGTCTTTTTTTTTTCATGTTAATCATGATGAACAAAAAAGTATGTGCAAAATTCTTCCATAACTGTAAATTACTATATTTATGTAAAAATCTGTTGCTATCTTTCGAAGTCAATTCATTTATGATATGCCAATTTATATCTCCTTAGTTCAAGGGTGATCTGCATTTTCATTTGGGGGGTATATTGCCTTGAAATCAAGGCTTTGGTTGAATTTAGGTTAGTTACAGCTAAAAATTTGTAGCTAAATTTTGAATTGAAACATGAGATTTTCAGATGTGCAGCTTTCCTTATATTTTTTTGTACTTGATTAGGTTGGAGCTCTCAGTATGGGGAATAGCCATGAGTTTGAGATAGAAGCAAAAGTTCAGAAGGTATGAATGTCTCAAAGCACACCTTTGAGTTTGGAATATTGTAGAATTTGTTTCATGACTGCTATATGCCAAACATTTTCTTAACCAATATGGCATGTAGATTCATTTTTGATGATTACTTTCCCTTGCAGATTTATGATTTGGCATATGATAAAGCTAAAGAAATGCTTCAGAAGAATCGTAAAGTCCTTGAAATAATTGTGGAACAATTGCTCAATTTTGAAAATTTGACAGGAGAGGTGAATGCTTCTACATTCATTTGCTCAAGCTAAATGTTGATATCTATTATCTTGATTTTTTTTTAGAAAATTTTTGATACGATCTTGAAATGTGGCCCAAACCTAAAGCATTCGATGTCCATGACCTTCCACAAGCAGCTAGGAAGCCAATTATATTGAAGATCTTAAATTCTATAATAGTACTTTTATATGTTGATGTGTTGTAATAAAAGATATGCAAGTTAATTGGATTGTAGGATAGGAAATTTAGATGGCTTCTTTAAAATTTCCCTTGGTAATTTTTTTCTTTCTTTAAATTAACCTAGTATCATTCACATATCTGACTGATATTTCAAAGTGGCACAGTAAAATGCATGAAGCTTCTATCTTCATAGAATTATTATATATGTTTTTTAAGCTGCTGATGAAATGAACAATCCTTTTAATGTCGTATATATGGAAGTTCGAAAACTTTGCTAGATGTACATGCTAGTAGCATACTCTGTCAGAATTAGCTTCAATCTTGACTTAGATTGATTTGCTGCTTATAGCAAATATGGCCTTTCATTCCAGGATTTGCTGAACATCCTTAAGAATAATGGAGAGATTCCAGAAAAAGAGCCATTCTTCTTATCGAAGCAGCTTTATAAGAAGGTATTGTTTAGATCTTATTGAGCCTCGACTTTTGTTTTTCTTTTATAAATGTGATGAGAGAAATTACCTATCTGTTCATTCAATTTAGACACGGCAAATGCATTAGAAGGAATAACATGTATATGTATATGTAAACACATCCATTTGAGGATGCATCACGAGTTTAGAGCTTAGTATAAGAGCTTTGTATGAGAAATAAGTTACTTGTTTTCTCCATATTCAAATGCTTTGTGGAATCCTAACATTTAGAATGAACTCATAATATTAGAAATTTTGACTTGTATATGAAGAAACGTGGCACCACATTATCGCTAACAATTTATGAAGATATAGGTTAGTACATTTTTGCTTTTCATACATATGTAGTAATGTACATATATCTTGTTCATTGCTAATAGGATCAGAAAACTTAGTTCAAGCAAAGGATAATTTTTTAAAATCTTTTCCTAGGACAATAATACAAATACATTTGTGCATATTTTGATGCTTCCTTATAATTAGACGACTAGGTTCAGAGTTGTCATGAACTGAGATTGACTCAGATTACATAAAAAATTTCAGCACCCTACTAAATTACTATTTTCAGCTTTGTTACTATGCCAGCTTTGATTGTAACATTGCTAATTGGTGCAAAAATACTTTTTGAGTGACAACATTTATGTGGATTACTTGGTGTTGTTTCCTATGATCTCCTGAATTAAGCATAATTTAGTTTGGATGCAACAACCAGACATCTTGCTTTTTAGCTCAAGGCTAGAAGTAACCAAAATTTCTCACCTTGCAGCTTAAATCTGGAAGCTCTCTTGATGAAAGTGGGGATGCAGAAGTATTGGACCTTTTGGGGGTTGCAACATAAAGGGGCTGCAATTTTGTAATTTGCACATTCCTCTAGGACAATAGGTATGAGTTTGACTGAAATTTGAAGTATATATTTATGTCACTTGATAATATTTTCATTTAGTCTAATTTTACCAGCATTCTCTAATTCATCTCCTGTCTCAGGGACAAGGAAGATTATAAAATGTGACTGAATCTGGCTATAGAATTTTGTCTTTTGAACTGAAAATCTTGCATCTTTGGGAGTGTTTTTTCCATGGCTTAGCCAATGACTTGTACAAATTGAAAGCCATCTCAAGGAATAAGTCTGCAACTTGAAAGAAATATTAGTTTTTCTGATCAACCAGAGTTGGGGCACCTTTGCCGTCATGTCAAATTTGTATCAACTGCAGCTTTCACAAACTGGTACTACTAATATTCTAAAAACATGCCGAAGTTGCAGGCTGGAGAAATTATTGTGTTCAAGAACATTGGTGCCACAGTAAGGTTGTTCTTTTGCTTTGCTGGAATTCAAGTCATGGAAAGCGAACTTTTCTGCCTGCAGGGATAAGGTTTCATGTTGATTTTTTCTAAACATCACATTGGCAAGAGTTCTGTGCAATAGGCTGACTGATTTTCTATACCAAACTAGCGGTATGTCTCACAGCTCAGATTTATGTTGTTCTGCGTTTCCAAAAGCAGAAGCCTAATGCAAAATAATATATCATTCATGTATCTAACATAGTCCTATTATGTTGCTTAATATGCCTTAAGAGATGAGAAATGCTGCCCTGTATTCCATCTACTATATCAGCAATCATTTTGGCTTCAATATTAAGATTGATCAGCAGCAAGCCCCACTTCTAATTCGACTCAAATGTGTTGTGCATGCCTTTTTCTATTACTTGCTCACCAACAATACAAGGTCGACAAAGAGGGCTGAGATTTCATAATGCCCTTTCGATTAATAATAAATGGTCCTTCAAAATGTCATCACTTGTATGTAGTCTTTGTCACGCGTGGTGTTGCTCTCTCTCTGAATCACCAGACAAAATGTTGGGCCTGCTTTATGCCTGCTGTGTGGAAATGTATTTTACTTGCCTGATGGAAATGTATTTAACTTGGATCCGAGTCTGATAACTATGTTTGAGAAGCATAGTTATCAGACTCGGATCGAACTGCCTGATGGAAATGTATTTAACTTGCTATAGTTCATCTACTAATACATGCTACCATTTCTAATGTTTGAGAAGCATAGTTATCAGAATCGGATTGAACTGCCTGATGGAAATGTATTTAACTTGCTATAGTTCATCTACTAATACATACTACCATTTGTAATGTTTGAGAAGCATAGTTATCAGAATCGGATCGAACTGCCTGATGGAAATGTATTTAACTTGCTATAGTTCATCTACAAATACATGCTACCATTTCTAATGCTTGAGAAGCATAGTTCTCAGAATCGGATTGAACTGCCTGATGGAAATGTATTTAACTCGCTATAGTTCATCTACTGATACATACTACCATTTCTAATGTTTGAGAAGCATAGTTATCAGAATCGGATCGAACTGCCTGATGGAAATGTATTTAACTTGCTATAGTTCATCTACAAATACATACTACCATTTCTAATGTTTAAGGGCAGAATTGGATCGAACTGCTGTGTGGAAATGTATTTAATTTGCTATAGTTCCATCTACTAAGACATGCTACCATTTCTAATGTTTGAGAGGAATAGTTATCAGAATCGGATCGAACTGCTTGATGGAAATGTATTTAACTTGCTATATAGTTCATCTACTAATACATGTCAAATCTGTACATCCACAAAGATAGATCTGTACAATCCAAGTCTTAAATATAGATCTCAAAGAAATGGCATCTTATGGTGTCATGGACTCTACAAATGTCAACTTCACTGGAAAAAAACCTCATGTAAGCTTAATACATGGAGTAACATCGTCTTTGGCGTTGTAGATGACTATTGTACTTGGCGTTGTGTTCTTACCGAAGTTGAGAAGATGGTGGAATGAATTGATGTATCTTTCAAGCTCGAGGGTATGGGTCAATCCAGCACTTAATCTTCTTCCACTGCTTGTTGCCATCTCCTTCTAAAGATACCCAGCTCGGGTAGCAACCATGTATCACCTGCAACCAAGATATCTCAGCCCAGGAAATATTAGTGAAGAGAAAAAGAGACCAGAAACGTTTGTACTACAACATGGTTGATTAAGATTATGCTCAAACATAAACCAACAACTACTCTGGAATTATAAATGAATTGTGATACATACAGCAGCTCTAAGAGCGGTGGTAGATGATCCATTAGAATCCTGCAAGTATCCCTGTCAGATTGTTGCATGATCAATGGACAACGAAGTAGAAAGATCTGCCACTTGAAGGCAGTTTGATAGGTTAGACATGCGTGTGGCTTCAATATAAATTAACTATAAACTATTGAGGATCAAGAAAAATTGTGATATAAATTAACTATAAACTATTGAGGATCAAGAAAAATTGTGATTTCAATTACATGATACAACAGCTTATATCGATGGCTAACAATTAAGCTAATCATAACAAGAACATCAACAATAACGAAGCGACTATGAGCCTAACTAGATCAAAACAAGCAAAATAAGGACCTAGTTATGTCACGAGTATTTCTGAGATAATTCAATGACCAAAGGAACTAGCATTTTGACCTTGGAAACCAAAAAGCTAGAGAAAAATGAGGGAAGGAAATAACAGATGATCTCCAATGGCTTTATGATCTCCAGAAGTAAAATTCAGACTAGTGAGTTTGATATGAATACTATCAGCTCTTCATCATATGTTTCCTTTATATATATATAAGCTACTCATCTTTTAGGCATAAAAGAAGACATCTCTAATCAGATAGTGATTGTTTGTTTTCACTCACATTTTCTCAGGATCTCCACCAAGTGTAGGGGTCCCCTTGTGAATGATGTATTCACTATCTACGACTCCAACATTTATAATCCGATCACCCTATTAAGAGGTAAATAGGTGTCATCTTGTCACAAATTATTAACTGGTACTATTTGGTTATGCAAAATGTTACCTGAGCAGACAGTAACCAAATTTCATGTCTAAACCCCCCACCAATGACGCAAGTCATTCTGCAAAGAGAAACGAATTTGATGAAACCCAGTACAAATATGTATTTGACATTAATGTCTTGAACTTTATTAATTAATATCAAGATGTGAAGATAAGGGCAGTTGACAGAATACTTGGATCATATGTCATGCACATTGCCAAGCAGCTTTTGGGAAAACTGGAACCATTATTTCCACAAACCTACAAAGCAAACCAATTCAATGCAAAAACAAAACAAAATAAACTTAAGTTTGCTCTAGGGAGAAGAGCAACTAATTACACTATAATTGAAAATAAAAGCCAATCGAGTCACACACGATAAGGTATTACTAAATGGCTATTAAATAAAAATAGATAAAACTGATAGCAAAGAAAGTATGAATCATGATCATCTACAATGCACTACACTCTTGATCATTCTATGAATGCTTGAGACAAGTATAACTAAAATGTGCAATTGAAATGGTCATATAATATAATGAAATCTAATCAAGGTATTCATCTAGGTTTCTTGGGTTCATTTTGATTGAATGCTTCATTTCAGTTTAAAAAACTGAAAATCAAATGTGATTCAACCATGTTTGAATATACAAGTTATTGTCATGATTTTAATATGTATGTTGTTCTTTACTCCCATTCAGTTCAATTTGATCTTTCAAAAGTTTAACTTGTTTCATTAACTCCAGCTTGGGAATTTCCCTGGGCTATAGCAGCTATTTTGACATGTTGCTCATGGAATGTAAGTTAATTTGTTTTTATGGTCATAGTATGCCTTCAAATGCTCATGGAGATTGTTTCCTCAATGTGAGGTGTACTATCCGTATAAGAATAACTAGATGCTGTTGAGAGGGACATGAAATGTTTGGTCATTACGAGGACTATAAGAAGAAACAGTGAATAAAAATTTGTTGTTTGATTAATTAATAGTTCCTACAGATTTATTTCCAGGGTGCTTCATTCTCCAAATTAAACTTTATATGATACAACAAGTTTTGGTAATTTAAAGGTGGCCAAACTTGAATCTAGAAGTCACTCAATTAACCGACGGTTGGCATCTATAGGTTTGGAAATAGTACTTGCAAAGAGAATAATTGTATCAGCGATATAAATAAATAAATAGTACGAGAACCATTTGACACAAATGTAGCTCAATCATATTAAAATTTATATAAATAAATAAAAATAAATGTTTACATTGAATCAAGGATTGATGTATCACCCGAAATGGAATGATACGGGCAGCACATATCAGTCCGACCGACAGAAGACCGAGACGCGGACTGCTTGGTACCGGGTAGTATATGCTAGGGGGGTTGTATCAAGTGATACAACTTGTGTACCAAACAAAACAGTTGAAATTTGACCGTTACTGACTCATTACTGGAGCATCAATACTTGGTCATTAAGGTCTTGCAACGTATCTTGCATATCAAACATTTTATCATGAAAAGATGTAAATGATGAAACAACCTTCCAGGGTGAAAATTTTCTACTCCAATGTCTTCATCCCAAAGGAAGATGTGTTTATACTCAGCCACTATATCTGGATGTAAGAAATGCTTAGCAAACCACCTGTAACATGCACATAGGTTTTTACCATGAGAAGAGAATCCCAATTTCGGTTTGTGGAAAAGAATGTGCATTGAGTTACCATTTGGTTCGATTGATTGCAGAGATATGTACTGCAGTGTCACTCCATTCAAAGTCACTCCATTGATCAACAATTCCATCATAGTGGAAAAGCATTACAGTGAAATTACAGAAAAGGAAGGAGATACAATAAACAACATAACCAGGAGGAAATAGTCATCTTCAACTTATTAGTTCATACTAGGAGTTTTTAAAATGAAGAAAGAAAAATGTAAACAATATTGTAAGTGCCTTCTTTACAAGTTCAATTACCATTTCTTTTGGTTTTATTCCAACTGAGACTGCCAATAAGCTCTTAGATAAAACTCATTTTTTTCCTGAAAACAACTAAGGTTAGAGAAAGGCTATATGCTTCCGTCAGTAGAACAATTTGCATGTGTAAACAGGTGACATAGTTAATCATATCATATAAATCAATTAAGATTTATATTGTACCCTTGAAAATTGAAATTATTGTATAGACTAGATTTTCTTGGTACTGGTTAAGGAAATCAGCACCAAGTAGTATACAAGAAAAGGAATACTTAGATCAGAATAGAGATTGCTAAGACTTGTTAGGAGATGAACACATGTAATTTTCCAGGAAAAGAATAAAGCAAAACTGAATAAATGGAATTTATATTCATCAGAAAAATTCAAGTCAACCATATTATGACCTGAATAAGCATTCTCAAATGACCTTCTTTGCTTCCTTTAATCACTAAGGCTTTCGCCAACAAACTCACTTATTACTCTAAAACTCACTTATGGAATAGAATGGAGTGCAAAACTAATAGAACAGCGGAACCTAACCTAACTGCTGACATTTTATGTAGCGGTAGCCTAACTGCTGGCATCTTACTCTGCGGTAACCTAACTGCTAACTCCTGACCTCTAAACAAGAAGAACTCAGCTAGGCACTAAACTTTAAGAACGTTGCTACCCAATTGAAATCCAGGCACATTTAAGATAAGATCATAACCGGACTGCCCACTACACTCCATTGGAGCAAGTCAAACAATCATTTCTTACTTTCAAATTATACTCGTTAGCACAAGTCAAATCAAAGAATGAAAGCAGTCAGCAGAAGAAGCAAGAGCGTTAGGACTCAAACTGGTATTACACTCGTATTCAATGCCGAAAGCACCTAAAATCTAATATTTACTTCCCTTATTAAGCACCTAAACTCAAATACTTATTCCCTGGCATATATAAGAATGAGAAAGGCTTATAGAGTTGGATGGCTTCATTTTCCTCGGATGCAATTCTGTGCAGAACAAAAGCACAAGAGAAAAAGAAAGTTCAAAAGAAACACTAGAGAAAAGACTAAACGTATATAGAATCAAAGAAACAATTAAACAAGACATCCAACAACTAAGACATTTAAATAGCAGATCAATAGAAAAAAAGAGGGAGAGAAGGAACAACCAATGCATTCGAGAACGAGCGCCCAAAACACGAGGAAAAAATATGGTGTTGTTAGAATTTGCAATGACATATATGTAAAATACTAAAATTTGAAGTGACGCAGCATTTAATTTACCGGGGACCTTTCAGAATTTAGAATCAAAAGAAAGCACCTCATACTTTATTTTTTTTCAAATTTAAAATCAAAAGAAAGCTTTGCATTAAATTATGATCTAACCAATTGGTCCACTTGTCGATAATGACCCCTCTATCTCAAATGGCCGTCTTGTTTTGTGTTGATTTCTTCTTTTCCTTATTTGCTCTTTTCTTCTGAGGATTTATATATATAAGCTAATTATTGAATAAGATTTTAGAAAATAAGAAATATCTTATTGATTTCAATTATAAACAAAATTTAGGGCTCCAACAAGCCGATTTCCATGTGAAACACAAGTCTGCAGAGAATGCATCAAGAACTGCACCAAAAAATCGACCGATTCTTTTCTCACCATTATGAGTCTCGACAAGTTCGCCACTAGTCCCACACCAGGCAAGCTTACACGACCAACGTGAACATCGAAATCTTTTCAACTTAGACCGGAAAAGATAGAAAGAAGAAGAAGAAGAAGAAGAACCATGACATGTAAATAGGGCTGTTTCTTGGAAAGAATCAGAGACATCGGATAAAGATAGGACCTCTTCCCTCGTCATTCTGAACGATGCTTGTGCCCGACTCGGTCGGTGTCTGCTCCTGGAGGAGTTGCAGAACGGAGGGATGGTCGAGAGAGCTGAGCCCTTTTATAGGTATATGATTTGGGGAAATCATTTATTTGATGGAGTTTGCGACTTAACTCGTTGTCAATACGAGATGGGTTAAGCATTAGGCCGCGATGGAATCGTCATTGGACGGCGAGTGACATTATGTTATTGGATTCGGGTTGTCGGTTTAGCAGTAACGGGCTAGAATTATCCATGTTCGACCCATCATTACTATCCCATCATCATCATTGCTGCACTAACATATCACGTGGCTTTAAATGTACTTATTATGACAGGCATTATATCAGATGCTGGGATGTCAACCATCTCCGATCAATTCATCCTGACCGTTGATCATCGCGTTCTCGTGCTCATCCTGTGATCTCGGACTGCCACCTTGGTTGGTAACACCACTGCTTCGATCGCTTCCCGTTCCGTCGTATTATAAGTCCCGTTAAGGCCGCTCATCAACAATCGGACGGCCGACATCGGTTCCACATCGGTCCTATCGACCACGAGTCATCTATAAGCGCTGATGTGCGGCGACGGAAAGGGAGCGCCTCGTGGAGTGCTGTAAGGGAGGTGACGCGAATCACGAGGTTGCCGGTGGATGGCGGAGATGCTGCGATTCTGCGCGGCGGCGGGCCTTATCAGGTACAGCGACGCGGCGGTGGCGGCGGCCGAATGCCGCGGCCGGAGGAGGTGGGCGGCGGTTCGGTGCTCCTCCAGAGCGATCCCCGGGCAGGAGGCGGCGGACGTGGCAGCGGCGTCGAGGCTAGTCGCCGGGGTGGGGGCGGCGGGCGGGGCAGAAGGCAAGGGGCTGGCGGAGCGGTTGCGCCTGGGGAGTCTGGTGCCGGATGGGCTGTCGTATAAGGAGAGCTTCGTAGTGCGGTGCTACGAGGTGGGGATCAACAAGACGGCTACCGTGGAGACGATCGCCAATCTACTCCAGGTCTTCATTCGGATCCCACCTTTTCTGCAATTTGTTCTTCTTTTCCCTTTTTCGAAGACATTAGAAAAATGAGCTCTGTCTAGATCTGGAATCACCTTGCTGTCCTCCCCCCTTCCGGTTTCCTTCGTCCGCTCGGATTTTGGAGTCAGTAAGAGACTTCGATTTGTGTTCCTTCTTCTACGATGTCGATTTCTCTCGCTGAATTTGGTACGACTGAGGTTGGGGTTTGGAAACTTCTCTCCAAAAATTTCGCCTTTATTGTAAAGTTAACTTTTTTTTTTTCACTAGCTTTATGATTGTGCTTTTATCTTAATTGATTTAGTTTGACCTTTACTAAAATTTCCATTTAGTCGGTACGAGTGATTTGAGTTTGTGCAACTTGTGATTGTGATATGCATTCTGGTTGATGCTAGATTTGGTTGCGCAGATCTTTGCAAACGACTTGTATTTCTTTATTGATTCAATTGTATTCCATAATTTCTAGAATTTTCATCTTCCATTTCTTCATAATTCATGCTTCTACTTTTTTATTATGTTTTCCCCCCAATTTAGCTGAAATTTTGGATCTATTCAAGAATCTATTGTTCTTTATTTGTACCGGATTGCAGGAAGTAGGATGCAACCATGCACAGAGTGTGGGGTTCTCCACTGATGGATTTGCTACGACGCCTACCATGAGGAAGCTCCGCCTAATATGGGTGACTTCTCGCATGCACATTGAGATATACAAGTATCCTGCTTGGTGGGTTATTAGGAATGTGCATTTCATCTCCTTGAATTCTGAGTCGGAGGTTGGGGCTTACGTCATAGTTCTTGCCAGGGGTGACGTGGTTGAGATAGAGACATGGTGCCAAGGGGAGGGAAGAATTGGAACCAGGCGTGATTGGATTCTCAAGGATTTGGCCACTGGTGAAGTAATTGGAAGAGCTACAAGGTACTTTGTTGATTGTACCTAACGTTAAATAAGATAAAAAGTTGTTCTTGCATGTTGAAAATTTTACAGCCTCCGATGTACATAGATGCATAAGTTTCTCAGTGCAATTGTATGATAGTTCACAGTTTGTTTAGTAGAACTGGTGATGGCAACATCTCAGCAGTTGATTAGTGCCATCAGGAACAGAAACTCGGTCAAGTTATGCTTCTCCTTTTGATTTTCAGAAAGAATTCTCCCTAAGCAAAAAATTAGCTGTGTTCTTAAAATTGATTGTGAAAACTGATATAGTTCTATCCTAAAAGCTATTAAATGATTTTGAGTAGGGCATGAAAAGATGGTTCCCAAGGAGTGTCTTTTTTGTTTGAGGAGGGATGGAGATGCACATCAAGATATATAGTCAAAGAGGAGCTAAAGGGATTACAAAGTTTGGAAGCATTGAGTGGACAAGTGAGGAAAAGAAGTGTATTCATTTTGCTGAGGTAGCAAGGAGGGGGGGGGGGAGGGGAGAGAGAGTTACTGCAGGGCATAAATAGCTATGTTATTTATACTTTTATAGTATTGCTATCGTTCTCTCTATGTTTGTAGGTGATGATAATAAGTGTATTGCTTCTCACTTTTGGTTATGCATCTTTGCTTCAGCAAGTGGGTAATGATGAACCAAGACACACGGAAGCTTCAACGAGTAAGTGATGAAGTCAGGGAAGAATATCTTGTGTTTTGTCCAAGAACTCCTAGGTAAGCA